AATTAGGAAATTGAGTAATGTATAGTACTAAAATTTGAATTATAATCTACAGTTTTACACCAAACATACTGACATAAATTCATGAAAAAGTAGTTCAATAAAATTCTGAATGCGAGTCAACAAATGAAATGACATAGCCTTTCACCCGTGACCTGTTTTGAAAAGGCTGTACCAAAACAATCATAAGTACACAAACCTCTGACAATAGGTTAAAATTGAAATGTTGGGAAAGTGGTACAAATTCTAGACGAAAAAATGTTTTATCTTTCCTCTCTTCAGTGTATTTTTGAAAACTGAAAAGTAAGAAAAAATCATTTCATGCAATAAGTATATTTGAAAAAAAAAGAATTTAATTTTCTTTTCCCAATACATTTAATAAATTTACCAAACCATTTCATAGAGGATTATAAAACACTCAACAGATTGTGCCATCAACTCAGAATACTACTACTACAAGATGCAACTTTGATTATAGTTTCCAGTTTTTTTCATTATTCAAGCTTGTTGTTGATAGTATTGGACAAGCAGCTACATGAAGTTATAAAGTTAATGATTATATTAAATTTCTAATGAAAGTTCATTAAGCCAATTAATACCTTCTTTGCCACTAAGCCAACTGTAGGAGAATGTATAGCCAATCCTTGTTGTACATTTTCATCTGGAACTTCAGTAATTTCCACATCTCCAAGATCTTTAACATTTAGTCCTATTTGAAAAACATTTTCAATTTATTATATCTATCAAATGGAACATCCAAGGTTTAGATGTTAATAGTTGTATAGAGACTATATTGCATTATAAAAAGTTTATTTACTCATTACCTATTTACTAAATGTATCTGGTTTGTCAACTTCACAAGGATTCAAATTATTCTGACAAAAACCTCTTCATAGACGAAACAAAGGTATCAAGTCTTGTTCTTACCTAGTTCTTGCATTTTTTCTAATAAACCTCCATCTCTTATAGCAAGAGGACCCTTCTCAACACCACTTTTGCGCTGTAAAAACAAACAAAAACTACATAATATAGATACACAGAAAACAGTGGTAAGTTATCATGTAAAATTTATGACTCATTTATCAAATTGCAGTCATTGAAAGTAGATAATAAATGATACTGTACCTTTTGTAACCATGGTTACATAACAAATTATGATAGAGTCCTTAAGAAGATGCTTAAACTTTCATAGCAGATGTAAGATACTCTTCCAACACAATGAGATATAATCACTTCCCTCTATAAATGCTTAAGGTTATATAACTGGCTACAACTTTCAGGTATTTTTGCACAATAGGAAGTAATTTTCACCAAAGTAAAAAAAATAAAAGATATTTTGACATCTTGTTGCCATAAAAATATGTAAAAATCAGCCCATTTTAGAGCTGTACTAGTAGCAATAACCTTTAAATATGGGACATTTATTCAGTTTGAAAACAAACTTATGAAATTTGCATATCACTGTGCAACCAAGCAAGTTTTCACTTAAAATATAAAAGAACTATACAAATGAAGCATGTTTTGTACAACAGGGTAGGGATTTTTTAAGTTTTAGTCTTTTATATTTAAACATATATGTACATGTGGTGCTTGAGACCAAAAGCTGTTTTGGGTATTTTATGAGGCCAATCATTTTTATTGCTGTATCTAATAATATTTGCAAACTGAGAAAAAAATTCAAATCCACACAACCATCCTGCCTCCCAATGGGTCAGCAGTAAGTCTGAAGACATATAATACCAAAAACTAGGTTTCAACACCAGTGGTGAAGACACCACAGATAGCTCACTGTGTAGTTTTGTGCTTGAAAACAAACAGAATAATACCAGAAAAATGTGCTCCTTTTCAGTTACTCAGTGCATATATTGATGCATAATACTTCTAAAATCTAAGATAGTACAATCTGGATTACTCAGTATATGTTAAACAAAGGCACAACTTAGGACAGGTTTAAAAATAAATGTGGTTCATGAAGTTAGCTGATAAAAGCAAAAACTTAGTTACCTTTCAAGCCTTGTTTTTATCAATGAATATTATATGTATTTTTCTTTCTAAAAATAAAGTACAGAGTTCCAGAAAGCATGTTCTAAGTGCTTGTCATTCCATCTTTCCACTGTTCAAAAAGTTTGAAATGATGTAGCTTCATGGGATCCTACTGGGAACTGCTATGGTTGTACCCCTGTAAAAAACTGGGAATGCCCCTCATACAATCCACAAATTAGATAGCAACTTATAAAGTTAATAAATCAAAAGTGAGAACAGGCCTAAGCTTCTTATAAAACCCAATGATTCACAAAATAAAATTTGGCCAACTGGAGCCAATTTGGTCCTGTATGGCTGTCATAAAGTTAATAAATCAACAGTGAGAACAGGCCTAAGCTTCTTATAAAACCCAATGATTCACAAAATAAAATTTGGCCAACTGGAGCCAATTTGGTCCTATATGGCTGTCCATACACACTCATTTCAAGAAAATTAATAATTAAATCAACCCTTTATTTTGTTAGAGAATTATCAATTCCCCATTTTAAACCCTTCTACTAGCAGTGGTAGAACTGTTGGTGGCAACTCATTCTGTAAGTTAATCATCCCATTAAAAAAATAAAACTGTTTTAACTGGAGTTTAGCTTGTCTCTCTTTTTTTCCTCCCATTTTTACAGATAGAGAATACTAGCAATATTTCTGACCCCAAGTATTTTATGAGAAACTGGAATTGATTCAAATGATGTAGATATTAATTCCTTGGTGACAAGTAGTGTCATCCACAGAAGTCTTCAGGGTACAGCACAAGTTCTCTGGACTGTTATGTTTTATACATATGAGTACATTAACACTTTGGAATAAGCCAAGTAATCAATATTGTCTGGGTTCTCCTGAAAAACTCAGGCCTCAAAGAAATTACAAAATGTCTATAAATACATTCTAAAATCCTATTAGATTTTCTAGCAGTGGGGCACTGCTTCTATGATTTGAGAAGTTGAGGACTTATCTACCACCAGGAGCATTGAGAGCCAGCCCAGGCCCCGGGGTAGGTAATATCATCACCCACCCCCCTTCATTATATTTATTAACTTTTGATGATTTTTTATAAAAGAAATTTAGGTGACAAATTTCATGAATCCATGAAAAAGCAGTAGCCATTTTACTTTTAGCTCATTAAGTAATATGCATTTCCAGTGAGCTTTGAAATATCCTACTGCTGGGCCCCTCAACAGACCCCGGGCTTTGGGGCAGCTGTCCCCCTTGCTTCCCCCCTCTCATCAGCCCTGTCTACCACTATGCCATAATTCAATATTTTTTTCTTAACACCTCTTACAGTTTAAACTTGTTGTAAAGGGCCAGCCTCCTTCTAATACTATAGCAGTGGCAGTTCTTCTGATTGCAAATTTTTTTGTAAAAAGATGTGAGAATGATAAAATAAAACTATCTTAACTAGAGCCCATCCTGTCTTTCCCAAATCTTGAATGTGTAGGCTTAGTATTTATAATACTATATTTAGCTTAAATTTAGTTTTCTTAGTAAGACTTACTAAATACAAAAGTAAGGAAGATCGATAGCGTCATAGGCAAAAGGTGTTTTTTTAAGTTAAACTAGTCGAAAGTTTAAATTACACCTTACATTTTAAAATGTCGTATGTAATCCATTTTGGTACATCGTACAGCAATTTTCGAAAAACTTAAACTTGAACACTGATGTTTAATTCCTTAAATTAAGATAAAGTAAAATCTTAATGCTTCCTACGTTCAATCTAAAGATTTACTTACTTGACCTTTAGAAAATGGGACCCCGATGATTCCAATATTCGTGGAACTTGTTGCTACGGTAGAAAACGCTGGATTTTTCCATTCTAACTCCGGAATGTTAAAATTCGAGAAGATCGCTTTACTTCCCACGTGTAAAAAATTCGATCTTTGAGTATGAAAAATTTTTTTACAAAGATAACACGTAATAGCTCGCGTTGTCGTCATCATCATCATGACATCAAAATGCAGCTAATTGTATCATCACACTACACACTGTTAGTGTTATATATATATTATCAAAGATTGGATCTTACAATTTATAGCCGAATACACAACACTAGACAGAAGTAGGGCTATTAGTATTACTTGCCTCATACAAGAACCTTGAACTAAGAAACCTATCAACGACGCCAAACATAATTCCACAAAACTACACTGCAGTGTATAAGCATCGCATATTTCTGGCAGTTATATCAAGGGTGCTCGAAGATTAGCAATCATCCTTCACCCTATTCCAGGCAAGAGGTTAAAGTTCAATGAGTGGTCAGCGATTTAATGAGCCATATGGGCGAAGAAGTAGGAAAATAAATAATTAAATGAAAAATTAATAATAATAATAAGTAAAGGAAACGAAAAAAATTAATATATATATATGTATATAAGATGATGAGGCAAGTAGGCGGAAGTGAAGGCAAGTCCAAGGCGTAGCAGAGGCCGGTTGATCTTGTAGAAGGAGCAAGTCGGCAGCCATTGTTGACAAGTTATCGAAACAAAACGAAG